AAAAACCTTTTCAATTTACACCGAAACAACACTTACCAATTTACATCGAAAACTTAACAAAACTAATCACTATGCATAGTGTAATAAGTTCTAAAATTCTATAAAACTATCGTTTCTCTGGTCAACGACATTAAGGAATTTCAATTAGGTTCTAAGCATAACTAGGTTTAGTTTAGCTCGGAAATTGGCAACACTGATTTAATTATATGGATCGTTACCACAAACGTTGGTATCTAAACTATGTACCAATATGACGAACAATTTGTGGCTCAAAATGATGTGCTCTAGGGGGATGTCAACAGGGAAACGGGAACTGCCATGTGATTAATTATGTCATTTATCTATCATTATCTTGTACGATTTGAATACATGGTGTTGTGACATAATGTCTGATTAATCTACTTATTGTTCTATAGATATAAAATCCTTGATTAGTTAAATAGTTATATATAAAAGAAGGAAGCGATTTCTCAGTTCGTCTATTCCTAATAGAACGTTAGACACGAGGAGAAATACGTGATAACAACTTTAAGAAAGAGCATAAAAACAAATAAACAAACAGCGTTTTCAAACGCATTATAAAAGATTAGTTCATCAAAGCAAGAGTAACGTCATATGAGCACTTCGAACACAATACTGTATATGAATCACTTGAAAAACAAATCTATGTAAACAAACATTTAAAGTGAAGCACTAGTAGACAGTAGGTGACGTGGAACATTTGTTCCAACACACCCCGTGTTTGTTTATTCATTCACGATGTTTATAAGAACCCCTTGCGGCGGGAAAACAATAAATTGTTTTCACAAACTTGTGGGTAGCGGCCGAGGGTTGGCTCTAGCCGATTTTAGGATTTTATGAAACAGTAATTAAAGGTAAACAGAGATCGTTTGAACGTTGGCATGTAGTGACACTGTGGATTTAGGTAGAACAAACACGAAAACGTTTCAACGAATTAATCTGTGGCTTCAAAAAAGTTTAAATTGAGAAGTCATAACGTTAAGTGCACAAGCGAACTAGAAAACGATGTTCCCTCATATTACGTACGTAGCTGAAGTTAGAAATATGGGATAGCAAAGTAAAACGATTAAAACTTTAATAGTTTGAACTAACATGTTAGAGCGAGCCAACTCCGCAGATTTAATACAGATAATGTGTTGTGCTATTTACATAAAATGTTCAGGTTTACCCCGTGCATTACGATGGGTAGCGTCGGGATGCTGCAAACTTTGATATTGTGTGGCTAAGGCTGAGGTTCCTGAGATTTGAGGGCCTGGTGCGAGTTTATATTACGACACGTTTATAACATTCGGCGTTCTGATTGGCCTGCCTCAAGTTAACCAACCAATTAGATGGCTAAACGTGGTAATGTGTCGATCGCGTAACGGAAATCAAACTCGCACAATTTAATCTGTTATATCGATTTACTTTTTAAAAGTGCGAGTAAAATGTTTAGAAGTATCTTCCTCTTTACTACATCTTTGTCTTTGCCTTCGTGACTTGGAGGTGCATAAATTATTATTTTCCTTACAAAGAGGAGATAATAATGGATTGTATCATAAATGATGTTGTATTATAAAAACATTAAATACTGTTTCCTAGGCTAGGTCTGTCTAACCTAAATTGCGTACGTCTAGTTTTAATTCCTAGATTATATGACCAAATTAATAATTATGTTTTTCAGCTTACTAACGTAATTATTTAACGAGGAACTCGACTAGTTTCAAGCCATGCTAGAGACTCATATTCACGTCATGAGCAACATTCCGCGTCTCTTGACGCAGAGACGGTCTCATGAAAGATATAATATAATAATCTGACCAGTTTAGAATTAGTATTTACTTAACCGAACTAGGTAAAACGAACAGCAAACGCGGCGAGTTTATTCTGATTTTGTACCTGGATTATAGTATTAAGACTACTTAGTAATGAAGCGTTAGACACTAAATCGGAATGGCCTCCGGATTATTCTGTGGTTTATCTATATAGCTATTTTTAGTTCTGTTTGTCTGTACATATGTACTTAAATACTGTAGGTGTATGAGCATTTTGTTATATGAAACATGGCGAATGCATTATCTTCCGTTGATAAGAGAACTGGTGCTAAATATAGCATAGTGGCTATTGTGTGATGTTTAATAATATCTACCTAATTAATTTGCGGTTAAGTGTGAAGTGAATTTTGTGGTTTTTGTTCCAATATTATCTATAAATAGTAGGTAGATTGTGATGGGCGTGACACTTCGTCATCAAGACAAAAATAAAAAGATCTAGGCTACTGGTAGAGCTACGGAGCCGCGAAGAACGTAAAAGGTTACCGGGGCTCCGGCTCGAAATGGGTGTCTGACACTCCCGCCTCATCCAGGCGGGAAAAGTCATTCGATAATCCCCCCTCAAAAGGTAGGTACTAGAATAACCTTCTTTATACAAAAAAATCTACTAATACTTTAAATACGAAAGTTTGTATGTTTGTTTGGAACTCCTTTACGTCAAAATGGCTGAAGGGATCGGGAATCATCGAAATTTGGAACGGGGGTAGATTGGTTTGGAATAACACAGGCTACTTTTTACTGCACGGGAATGCAAGCGAAGCAGCTAGCAGAAGTTAGCTAAATAATGAGATCAATCCTTACAAATCATGCTTGTATAATTAATCGAATTAGCTACAAACGTTTGTGCAGAAACAACAAAGTTTAACCGAATCTTTGCATATTGTAAACATGATGACACAACCTAAAACCTTTCACTGTTTATTTACATCTGTCATATACCAGACGCGAAGCTTCATTTCTATAAACAAACATGTATGCATTCACTCAAATATGTATTGATAAATAAAGGTTGTAAATTATGTGTTTATGTGTTAAGACTAAGTGACTTTCACAAACAAACCATGCTTCACAAGCCAGCCGGCGACAGTGATGTAATGCATTTTGGAATCGACTTGCATCAATCTTTGTATATTATATGGAGCTTTAAAACCATCTGCCTTTAAACTTGTATAAAAATTATAAATTACTTGGGCATAAAAAGAAAATTGCCATCAATTTTCATGTCAACGCCAAGTCGATAAAGCTCACAATTCAATGGTTTGAAAAGCCTGATAAAGTTATTTTACAAATAAATAAACGTTAAAATGAAAAGTGTAATGGGTGCTGAAAGAATTATTGGTAAACAATCTGTTGTTGAAGTTGTAAAATCACGTCAATATTAAGACTGGGAGCAGTTAACTCATAATCGAATTATCAAACACGCTGTATAACAACATTAAAACTTTTTAATTGACTTGGAAGCTTATATTTCGAATACCGTTAATTAATTTCTGAAGGAATCTTGAAGGCTGATTTAGAAAGGAATCAATAGATGTTCCGAGAATCGGTAAGTAATTTACTAAACAACTGTTCCCAATATTTTGTCTCCTGCTGTTTCTATTGGACCATGAATCTCGTCTTTAACAGCGACTAATAAGACTTAAAGAAAACAAGAAATTACGCAAAACGTACACTGACCAAATGCAACAACTTCTCTTAAGCACAACCAACTACGGTACTAATGTTAGAAGTAAACATACGTTAATGATATGCATGATCAGTAAGAAACAGGTTCGTTTGCATTTCCCTATAATTAACAGCTTTAAATGTCCGTTAAGACCATTGCACCGAACTTATCTCAATCACAGATGAGATAAACAAGGTTTTTCATGTACCAATCAGGAAGCTTATAATCTATAGAGATTACGTACACAAACATGAAATATAAAAGGAGGTAAGATAAAAAACTTTCGGCAGCAGAAAAGAAATCTTTTATGAATTTATCGCGAGGAACACATAATATTTTGTACACGGATAAGCGTGAAATGAATTTCACACAAAAGATATCGTATTCTAAACCGAATCCCGTTGCAGACAGTCCGAATGAGATAAAGGAAACGACGAAAATAGGTGATTCAGTAAAAATAACAATGAATTTAACGACAGAGTTCATATTTTGAATTTACATCGTTATTTTTCCTTTATTGGGTACCTGTAGCGTTGTGTAAAGAGGGGCCTTGTTCGTTGTAACAAGATTTTTGTTGGAGGAAATTAACGTAAAAAACGGGAATAGGTAGGTAATCTCATTTACAATTATTATTATTGCCAAATAATTCTAGTGAATAATACCACAGCCATCTAAACATCTATGTATTACTTCAAACCTACATACACACTTCAAGACTTAGGCCGTGTTTGTACCTAGTAATTTGACCGTCATTACTCACAATAACACGCAAATCAACGTTAACCGCATTGTCCGATCTATTCATAAATGTATTTAGGACTAGGACTGGGATTAACGCAATTATGGACCGTATGCAGATCGTAATAAACTATCTTTTTCGACTAACGTGCTGTCACATCCAATTACAAGACTATGGTATAGTATGGTTGCTTAAGTAAGAGTCATTTCACTCTTCTAGAAAATTCTTGTAGAAGAAATGACGTCACCGATTCCGAAATGAATATTATCCTGGCATCGTTGCGCATAAGTAATTGTGTCCGACTCCAATTTTCTTGTTACACGTTAGTCTGCAGTTATTTCGTAGAAACACTAGCTGATTCATTGTGACAAACACTTGTTCAAATGTGGGCCATTTCAGTGCACTGCTTGTGAATGTTCATTACTTTCGACACACACACATGTAGAACAAACCACTTCCAGCTAAGTATTCTAAGTATCTCCGCTCAAGGGATTTTGAGAGTCGATTGAATTTTATTGCCAAGGAATTCTCAACTTTAGCGAGATCAGTAATTAAGTTGTAATAATTTTATTACTAGACTTGGTAAAGTCTGAAGTTCGGTTCGGTTTAACTTTGAATAATCTAGTTATGTATATTATGAGTCACTTTTGTATCATGACTTAATGGCGGAGATTCTCAACGTCCGTCTGCACAAGTCAATTTTCACCGGCATTTAATTAAAGTTACTAGAATATGATTGGCGGTTTAATAAAATGGTATTTACCATAATGGGGCTCTTTATCGTGTGGTATGTTCCCGTTGGGCTCGAGCCGGTCGAGGCACTCCTCGGAGTAACCGTTGTAAGGCAACTTCCCGCGGCCGCCACCGTTCTGCTGCCGGCCACGACACTCGCTACCGTCTCCGTCAGGCTCGTCTTTTGTTGCTGCAACAAAACAAATACAATATTATACAAAACGTACAATTTAAAACATTTTTCATCCACTTTTGGAAGAAACATCGACGAAATTAATGTAATCCCATCGATTACCGCAATTCATTCACAATTTGTTGAGAGCAACCGCAGTGTATAAAACCTTAAATTAATTACGTTCGCGTACACTTACACAACGTATAATGGTATTACTTGCCGACGCTGTTCAAAGCCAAGATCATTACGGGTTGACAAACGACACTCGGGTTTCAATTGAGAGAAACTTCGGTAAAGCCCATTTTCGGCAACGCAGCAGATGAATTTAATAGCATTGTGAACCTGACAATGAAGCTAACTACAAATACTTCAGTGCGGCCACGGCTATTAAATGCAGAGCTATAATGATGGGGAGCTTACAAAGGTCCAGGATTTATAAGGAAACTTTTACAAACTAAATTTCCCGAAATAGCTTGCATAAGAGCAGCGAGAGAAACGGACAGTAATTTTTCTGCATAGCAACTCATTAGTGGAAATGGAAACCAGAGTCGGAGATGGTGTTGGTAGTGCCATCTTGACCTATATCAGAGTAAGTTGAATGAAACTAAATTCCGCAAACCAAAATAGTAATATAACATTTGGTACATTAATCAGTAGGTGACAAGTTCGTAGCAAATTCGTCGTATTATAATGATCTGCCAAATTTCCACCGAATAAATTCAATTGTCGCAATGAACGGGTACATTTTGACAGGTTAATTTATTGAACAACATCAATGAATACTCGCACATTGGGCATAGAGGCATGAGTACGACACATTGCATTTGTATTAATGTTAAATCTGACTACGGTCTTGATTGGTTGTAATTAAATTTTGGTTTCAATGAACTGCATGATAACATGAATAATTAATTAAGTCCAAAATGCATCACAGACGTAAATAGGTTTTATAAACACATACGTATTTAAAGCTAAAACTTGAAGTGAGGTAAGAACGACTTATTTGCATTGCACAAAGTTCCAAGTAACCCTGCAGCATACTGTTTAAAAGACAGGATATGACGTGACAACTGGCGCCAAAGGCCACCAAACTTTAATTAGCTGCACCACGGAACTTAGTCGGCAACTTAGTATGGCTGGCTTATTATTTTATAGCGCATAGTTTCAACATAAATTGTCATTAAAGCATTTTGTTATAGAGAAGAAACTTAACCTTTGATGGAAGTAAGAAAGAACTATTATAGAAGAACTAGTTAGGGCTATATACCTAAAAAAAAGGAGATACAAGACAATATAAAATTCTAGTAAAATTAAGTAGCGTATTATCATATATAAAGAGCTCATTATTCTCCTGATCAATATGCAGGACCGCAATTACATGTGGAACTCCATTATTACAGGGTCGTACACTTCAGGACTTATTCATGTCAAATTACGCGGACAATTTGCCGTAGCCTCGATTGCAAATTAGTAAATTAAGTTGAGCGCCTCGTGCACATTAATTATGCATTCCCCACAGTTTCGTGCATCTCCAAAACAAGAAGTAGCCATCTGGCGTCTCAAGGTAACGGGACGGCCATACTTTCTTGACCAAAAATATTATCCATCATTTTGGCGCCAGTAATAACTTTATACATTGTTTTAAGTGATGCCCAAATTTATCTTGAATACAAATTAGTAAATACTTTTGTGTTTGTAACTTTATACATACATAAATCCGAGAACATGTGGTACACAAGTTTCATGTAAAATTTCCTTGGAGATTGCGAACACAATCCTGAAACAACGAGGCTTAACTTTTGTCTCTAACGCTCACAATTCACATGCAGCTGTTTGCTGGGAGAAAGACACAATTTCTATAGCACTATTTTACGTAGACACAAAGTAAGGCGACAACCGGTGCCCCGGGGCGGTCGGGTTTAATTGAGACGCGGTTGTGCATTCCTCTTGCACAACTCACGTGAAACAATTTTACACACACAATGTATTCTCTTTAGATCCACGTATCGTACATTGGCTGAGTTTCGCAAGCCTTAGGAAGATCCGAATGAACGGAAAGTTCCGTGTAGAATAACTCAAGAGAATCAGATTACGTTATTGAAATAGTAACAGCCAAGTGTTCACACGGATAATTCGTGCAAACATTCCATGAATGTAGCGTAAATATGCTAACAAAACAATGGGTATTGGTTTTTTCCGGGTCAGATTATCGTGGGATTAGAACCGCGGTCTAGCAGCACGTGCGCTTACGATAAGCTCCCTCTTATATGTGGTGCTGTTGAGAACAATAAGCAGTGCGCATGTTCGTGCCGACTGCGAAGTTTCCGTCGTTCGTCTTGATGCAATTAGATAGGTGAGCTTTGTTTCCTTGTTTCACCTTCCCCTGTTCCGGCAGGGAAACTCTTTATCACAGCCGACGATCAATCACTATTTCCTCGAGCCAGATAAGGCATCGTCTGTGATTTGTCAAATAAGATTGCATTTTCGGAAGGAGAAATGTTAGCTAACTAAATAAATGTGAAGTAATTGCGAATCTGCGGCACTTTGAATTAGAACCAGAGTCGCGTTGACTTTCCCTCTCCTGAATTATCGTTCTCATCATGACAGCCATCTTGCACCAAGTGACAGTCATGGATGTAATTAAACGACGATTTGCTCTCGGGTCTACCTCGTTGACAAAACGACGACACAGCCGCCGCATTACTGCTACGAACACGAGAGGGGTAATGTGGTTCTTTCTTTTGTAGAATCACATCTATGTTTTGAAGTCAAATTCAAACAAAAGTTGTTGTAAAGCTACAAGCTCATAATCTCGACGTGAGTCATAAAATATAATATCGTGATCACGAGCGTAACTCGGAAACTATTCGACTTGAGGTCATAACACATAACTTAGGTGTTTTACTGTCGCATGAAACAAAGGCAGCGTATCGCACGCATAACATTCTGTTTGTGAACACTAAATAAACGTATAACCCACCTGCAAGTTTGTATTAAATCTACATTTTACTACGAAAATGTTTGCCTAAACCAAACCTAAACTATTATTACCCAGTGTGTATTACAGCAATTTGTAATTTCGTGCTAAAGCCATTTCATAAAACGACAAATTTCAAATTCTGGACAAAATATACTTGTCTTTTATGAGTGACAATCTGTTGTAATGAAACGGACGGAGCAGCGGCCATAAGACGGTAATACTGCATTTAATATCGAAGATGGTGTCTTATTACGGAAATGTATAGCATGACCGACGAGCAGCGACCTTGCGTACATTGAGGTTTTATAGTTTAAACCGAAAGCATATTCATTACACCGTTTACAATTTTGTTAGACAAAGAAACATAAATAATACTTAAAAGCAGGTAGCTAAGACTACTCTACGACGATAGCTCTAAAATGAAAAAAGAAAATGCACTTTTTTAATTAACCCCTTACTGAGTTATGGGCACCAACGACGTAAAAAATACCCTTTGAACTTATCACGCTGTGTTAAAAACAAGTAATAAAGGAACAATTAAATCAAGTCTCTTTCAAAGTTGTAACCCTCTATTACTTAAAACATTAATGCTGGAAAGTGCAAACTTGGAAGTTTGTTGGAAACGGTTTCAAGAAAAATAACACCCGACAATGGGTGTAAGAAAAAAACAAGTTTGTGAAATAAAATTTCTTCTACAGCGTACTAGGCAAGACGGGGTGCCGCAAGAGATTACATTTTTACTTGGTTTAATATTAAGATGAGTTCCTGCAACATTTTGCGCCGCATATTATTTTCAAAGATCCATTCGTTACCTCGCGGCTGGATTGCATTTGCAAGTAAAAAGGTTACTATTGTAAATTCTAAACGAAAACTATTATTCATGCGACTGTTTTGCGATACACTTAAGTATGAATTTACGAGATAAATAAAAACAAACACGCGTTGAAATATCTACTGCATCAACTAATAATGTTATGAAGGAAAACACAAGACGCTTCAACGACGATGTTGCTATAGGAAACTTTAAAATGAGTAAATATTTTAAAAAGAAAATTGGAATACTTCGTCGGCAGTTTTTTAGTCATTAGCAAGTTTGCGTCGAAGGAACTAACGAAGAGTTTACGTTAATTAATGAATAACTACGTCTACGTAACAGCCAGTTTTATCACGTTAACGAAGAAAGAATTTATGGCTTGTACTCCATGGCATCCAAAAGACTTATAATATTAGCATAAAATTTATTCGTGTCTGGGCCAGTGATTCGTAAAATTTGAAAAGGGTAGACACAATGTCATGTCAAAAACCGAGACTCGATTGGGATCTCATTAAAATATGGATATTTGCATGCATAAAAGTAATAATCTGTCGCTTGCTATTATGCTCAATATGATATTAAGATTGTAGTTCTGATACGGTACAGACAGATGACAAATAACTTTACATATTAGTCATTTAAAAGAAATTTTCAATATTCTGATTATTGTGAAGAGCGATAAAGGTAAAAAAAACATTCGCTAGCAACTCTAAATGTTAAGTACACACTTATCAATATTACCAGTCCATTAAAAAAACGAAATCAAGTTGAAATTACGTAAACTAATATAATCAATTCAACAATACACAGACTAGATTAAAAAACAATAGATCAAGAGTATAACAATGACACAAACAACACTTGTAACACATTCCTGAGTATCATTCAAAGCGTAGCGAAAATGATAATGTTGAATAATATACGACAGAAGTAGTCGATACAATGTAACTCGAAGTGTACAATAAATTCCGTGCCGTTTGATATAATGGTGTACAATACGAAGTCGTAGGACTGGATGTCAAAGTTGACGAGGGTGCAGCCACGACCCCTGCGGTCAGCGTCGCTTTCAACAGAGACGACTTATCGCGAATTTCCGATTGGATCGATGCCTACGAGTTTGTGATCTACCTCACAACTCACTTTATTGGACGCAATGTAGCTGATAACTTTGTTTGTTGCTAACCAAATTATAATAGATGCCATGCCATTGGTTTTGATTTA